AAATCAAGGTGACTGTGAATCAGCTGCTTCTTCCCTCTGTGACCCGGGATGGACTAATGGAGCACCCCAGCAGTCTCTCTTGGGCCCAGCTTCTCTGGGACTCTCCTGTTGATGTCCTTATCATAATGGCAGGAGGCTGTCTTGTATGTAAATATTTACAAATCAGAAGCAGGATTTTCGCTTGCAAAGGGTTATCTTATATAACTAATTCAGAAGTCCATGGGAGACACAACCTATGAGGAAGATCAAGCTAAGGACTCAAATCTGGTCTCTTAACTTTTTTAGTTCTGAGTTTTTGCCGAGAACAGTCAGATGGACCATTTTTAGAGAGTGAAATTTAATGAGGGAAGTAAGGTAATGAATCCCAAAGCAAAATCATGCCACAGAGTCCATTTCAACTAATTACAGCCCTATATAGGGTTTCTGAGGCTATCAATCTTTATGGGATCCATCAGCCTCACCTTTCTCCGGATGGGTTTGAACTGCGCACTGAGCAGTTAGCAGTCCAATGCTTGTCAGGGAGCAGCAAAATAAGGTTTTCTAAATAATAGTTTTAGCTACTCGTTCCCATTTTAACTAACTTTAGAAATAAAAGAGTTACCATCTCTTGTTTTCCCCTTAATTTCATTACACAGAGACCAAGAGTTGCAGTAGCTAAGTGCTTGGCTGCTAACAGAGAGGTTAGTTGTTGGAACTTAGAGCAAGACCTGACAATATGCTTTCTTCAAGATTACAGCCTAAAGCCTATGTAACTACTTGTCACATGGAGTCTCAATGGAACACAGCAGATTTATCAAACTTTTACGATGTTGAAGTCCCTGGATGGTAGAAACTGTGCTCAACAGTTAATCAAAAAGTTTGCGATTCTTAGTGAATGAGGATTATTGAAAAATTTGCCTTGTGTCTAATCCTCATTCTTTTCTTGTTTTTTTGTTTGTTTGTTTTGTTTTTTGTTTTTAAATCATTTTATCAGGGGCTCATACAACTCTTATCACAATCCATACACACATCAATTGTGTAAAGCGCATTTGTACATTCATTGCCCTCATCATTCTCAAAACATTTTC